TGAAAAATTTAAGGGGTCTGAATACTTTCCGTACCCACTGTATACACATATACACATATACATACATATATACACATATACATACATACATACATACACATACATACATACATACACATACATATACATACATATATATACATACATACATACATATATATATATATATAAACTTATTTAATTTCAGCTAGTTGCCAAGGCAGCATTTGTCGTTTTCTTTATGTACTAAAATAACTAAAAGTTAAATAAAAATGAATAAAAAAGCTATATAGACATTAAAAAAACTAAAACTAATAAAATGACAAAAACACTAAACAAAATGACTAAAACTTTAACTAAAAATAAAAATAGAAAAATAAACACTAATTCAAAATGTTAATGAAACTATAATAATATCTCAATAATAAAATAAGACTGGTTTATACTTTATATTATAGGCCTTATATTTTCTACCTAAAAATTGCCTTTAAAATAAAATGATTTAATCCATGATATTGGATATCTAATCTACAATGGCAACTTTTTATTTTTGGTTTGGGCTATATGAAACAGTGTTCACACTTACAATGATCTTGAATCGGTACAAAAGAGATGGTGAATCAGCTAGGCAGCCATACTCAAAGTTGTCAGGGTTGTATTTTGGGATGTATCCATCTACCCCTGTGCACAGGAACACCTTCTCAATGTTACAGATGAACGAGTCTCCAAGATTCTGAACAGGATCCACCATTACACGGCCATAGATGACATCTCCTAAAGAATGCAACAACCATAAATAAGGAGAGGTGTCATACTGCAAATACTACAAATCTTTTTTTAAGCCACAGGGGTAAAATACATAAGAATGAAGTGCTGTTTGTAGCATTTTACCCTCTGAGAAAGCTGTATCACTCTCCTGACCAAAGCCCATGGAGCCGTCTGACAGCCAGAGAGTTTTCTTTGAAAGCAGGAGCATCTGTGTGTTAAGACTGAACTCTGCTGACACTGGATCACTCACCTAAAATCAACAACAAACACATTACTTTTCACTAAAAATACTGGGTATATGTTAGATTTTCTCATCTGTCTTAAAGCTAACACTTAAGTTTAGTAGCTTTCGAAGGGGTCATATTTAGCAAATTATATGATATTATTAATATTTATTATATAATTTGAATTTTAGAATTTAGTTTGACAGTGTAGCAGTACAAATATAGTCAGAAAACATGAAAGTAAAAAAAAATAATTTGATTTTATAATTTATACAATTTATAATTAATTATAATTATAATAAAACTAACATTAGAATAATCAATAAATTAAATACACTACTGTTCAAAAGTTTGGGGTCAGTACGACTTTATTTTAAGAAATTAATATTTTGTATTCAGCAAGAATGCATTAAATTAATCAAAAGTTATAGTAATGACAAATGATTTATATTTCAAATAAATGCTGTTCTTTCTATCAA